TTATTTATTTATTCATACAGAACTGGGATACAGGCCAGAGATGCGGAGGGTGAGAGGCTTCACCAGAGACAGAGTGGGGAGCAGAACAGGCAGATGGACGAAGAACACTGCTGAGGGGAGCAGCGGGCGGGTCAGGAGAGGTCTGCCGCGCCATGTGGGTCACCTCCAGGGCAGGCGGGGATCGAACTCATGCGGAAGTAGCTTAAGGTCCTTAGTGCAGTGCTCTAACCGCTGCGCCACCAGGGAGGGCCAATCTACCACATTTCTTAATCCAGTCACAGAGTATCCTTTTCAGCACAGAACCTGAAAAAGGTCATGTTCAAGTGCAATACGGAAAATCATCATTGGGCCCACTCCCATGTCCGGCCTCTGTCTTAAATGCCACCTCTCGAACCCTATGGAACAGAAGGCTTGCTTGTTGCCCGGGCGGGATCCGAAGCAAACGTCATTTTATGGAGCTGTTAGTGACTATTACAGGAAGTATGTGCCCTGGATTGGGGCTGCTTTGGAAAAATCTTCACTCCTCTGTTTCACTGCCAGCTCTGAGGACCGAAAACTCAGATATCAGATATTTAGGTAGAGTATGTTCGTTCATGTAGTTCCAGCCTCCTGATGTTTCCTGAATTACCTCATTCTGCAGAACATGTTGGCAAAATATGATAAGATCAACAACTTACATAGTTTTTTCTCCCTAAGGATATAAGAGACGTTCTAGCAGCATCTGATGATTTTGGAATCCTGAGCTCTGTTCTAAAATAAAGGATATATTGCAGGAGCTCCCTCTCTTGCTGATGGACAAGGTGATCACCAATAGGAAATTTTGTTTGTGTTTTGCCTTTTGGGATGTGGTGAGACTCATGTTTTCTGCGGGCACTATGGTAGGTAAATTTCAGCATAGATGGAAAAGCAAACAGTTGATCATTTTTAAGCCCCTCCAGGTCAGATCATGTCACTGTTTCCAGAGTACGCCCAGAATGGTGAAAGTTGGCTGTAGGCTAAGCCTTTGCTAAGAGGCAGCCAGTCCTGAGGAGGATTTATTTATTTATTTTGGCCTTGGTAATGTCTAAGTGATGATAAGTACAAGTCTCTCTCAGCTACCTGGAGAAGGTCCCACATGAATTGGTTGACCCCTAGACCGTAGCAGCTCCAGTAGAGATGGATAAGAGTGTTTTGTAAGGGAATTTGAATGTAACACATGAAAATACAAAATGCTAAGTGTTCAGAAGTGTGTAACTGGCTGCTTTTGTTCATGAGTGGTTTTAATGCTCTGGTAAAGAGCCTAACACTCCTTTTTACTGGGGAGATGTGGTTTTAGTTTCTTGGGTGAATGTGCATTTTATAAGTTTTTTTAAGAAAGGAAATTAAACATTAAAAGGCTTTAAGTACTTTACTCTTTATATAATGTCACTAAGAAAAGCCAGGAAAATCAGGTTTGGCTTTTTATTTATTTATTTAATAAATATAATCTATTTTCCACCATTTTGTTTGTGATGGCTAGTACCAATATACTTTTAAAAGTTAGCATTTATTTTGATTTTGTTTTATTTCACAGATGTGCATAATAAATTCTCCTATCTCTGACCTTCATTGTGGGCTGGAACGGCACTTAGCATTCAGGCTTTCTCAGTATTTGACACACAGGCAGTTCACTTTAATTCAGCATGGTCTGCTGCTCCCCACTGGCATGACATTTGGCTTGTGAATGATGTGACTTAGATAAGACTGTGAGCGTCAGTGCAAGTGTGTGATGTGACTGGCCTTGACTGGCCTTTACCTCTGCACCTCGCCATTTAGGCCTGAGTTCCCTTCTCTATAAAATGAGTAGTTGGAAGGAAGTGGTATCCAAGAATCCTTCCTGCTCTGAATTTATAAACTCCACGAACTTGTGGGTCTGGTAGGTAACGGTTAACTGACTCCTTTCTTTCTCTTGGTTTTTCATTTAGGAAAAGATGTTACTGGAGCATCTGTTACAAAAGAGGAGACCCCCTCCACATCCCAGGATGCCAGAGCTTTACGGGAGAAGCCCCTGCAAAGATCAGCAAAGGTCATTCATTGTCTATACTTTCCTTCCACTTAGCCACAGGGCTGTTCCCTGAGCTACCAGCCGAAGGCCTCTCGCGGGATTGACGAGTCGGCGCTCAGGATGGCGTGGCCATAGACTGGCCTCTCGCGGGGTTGACAAGTCGGGTGCTCAGGGTGACATGGGTCAGTTAATTAGAAAAATCAGTAGTAAAAAGGGAATAAAAAAAAAAATCAATCCTTTCATGACTTAAAACTCATCCATCCATAGCCATTGGCCTTTGTTTGGGTGAGGGGTCTCGGCCTTTTCTTTGTGGGTCTGTGGGTTGAAATCCCACATTTTGCTCTTTGCTTATGCCATAGTCGTGGCTTTGAAGTGGAGTGAGATTCTAGACCCTGGTGAAGCCGGATGAATGGAAACTCCTTGGCTTTTTGTGTTTTGCTTTACTCTTACTTTATTGTCATCTCACATGGATCTGATCCAAAACTAAGTTTTCAGTAAGTCTTTTGTTTGACAGAGTATTTCATTCGGTTATCACAGGAACAAAACCGCTGGTGTTTGCATCCTATTGTGTTGTCTCACACAAGTCTGTTTACTTTTTAATTCTACATGCCAGTGGCCTAGTTGGGGGTGGGGTGCACCGGAGTCCACCGTAGCTGTGCCAGGAGCTCCTGGGTGAGACGTACGCGAGGGCCAGGAGTGAGGGGACCCAGCACCCAGGCCCGTCCGGCCCTGGGAGTGCAGTGTGGGCACTCGGCCGCACTCAGGGAGCCCCCCTTGCACGCAGATGGAGGAACGGCCGAGGTCCGCGTGTGTCTGCCCCCAGGTGCCCGTCCAGTGCCTGCACCTTTATTTCAGTGGCAGGGCGGAAACTAGCCACCTGCCCAGCAGCGTGCTTGTGTGGCGATGAGCACGAAGGGAAGGGCTGGCTCGCAAACTTGTGTCTTATTCGACCCGTGTGCTACTTAGACTTTGGGCTCATGGCTTATATTTTTAAAAGACAGTAGTACCCACATTGAAAAACACAGGATTCTGGCTTTTCTTGGCAAAATGAACCATCAGGACACACTGGGTCAGGCTCCGGAATGGCTTCAGTCGGAGCTGCATGGAGGCGACCCCCTGGAGGTGGGGTGCCGCCTGTGCTGGGCCCCGAAAGGGCCCTCCTTGGCTACTTTTGTTTGTTTCTTAATGATTAAAACTGAAACTTATAAGGCAGGACAATACGAGGTCATCTTTATGACAGCTGACCTATCTATCACACTGAGGTCAGGTGCTTCATACACTTCTCGTGCCGCCAAATGCCCAAACAGGAAGCAGAGACCCCTTCAGACAGGACACAGATGGGGATCACCTTGCCCCTGCCCATGAAGTGCAAGAGACGATCAAAGCAGAATGTTGAAGGAGAAAAGGGGAAGGCGGCTCGGGACTCAAGGGGCCCGGACGAGGCGGGGTCCTGGACCCGGCGGGGGCTCAGACCATGTCCAAGAGGATCTCCATTTGGGTCTAGAAGCAGTGCTGACCCGGGGGGGGGGGGGGGGGAGCACATGACGGCCTGCTGCCTGCCCAGCCTGACACGCAGCACTGACGCTTCTCTCTGTGCCTGCAGGTGGTTTACATCACGGAGAAGAAGCACTCGCGAGCAGCCACCGGCTTCCTCAAACTCTTGGCTGATAAGAACAGTGAATTGTTCAGGAAGTTTGCCCTGTTCTCGCCTGTGGACCACCGAGTGCCTCGCATTTATGTACCTCTCAAGGACTGTCCCCAGGACTTGGTGACGCGGCCTAAAGACTACGCCAGCACGCTGTTCATCTGCCGCATCGTGGACTGGAAGGAGGACAGCAATTTCGCCATGGGGTAGGTGATCGCTGGCGGGAAACACCACAGATCCCAGGCAGGACTCACTCAGGTGACTTTTAAGTCAACCTTTTGTGTGTATTTTAATTAGCATTTCTTTATTAAAGCCTGGGCACTTGGCATATTTTCCTCCTGGTTCTTCAGAAATTGCCTTTAGCCACCATCTCCACCCGTCACCTGTCGGTTCCGTAAACTGCCAGCTGTGACCCTTTTTGTTTGTTTTGGTGTCTGGCATAAAGTAGAAGCACTCTCTGAGTCGTGTGTGTTTCCCGTTGTGTCGTGAATCCTGTGTGTGCTTGTGAGCCGCCGCGGAGTCACTGCGCTAACGTCCGGCAGACGTGAACACTAACTGTCAAAGACCCAGCCTCCGGCATTGCGCTGTGACTGCATGGTGTGTTTGGGTCACGTGCTTCTTTGGTATTGGCCTTCAGAGTTCTCACCTCAGCCGTTTGGAACTAAACCCCCCTTCCGTGAGTGGAGAAGAGCACCACAATTTCATGAAGCCTTTGGAACCGCTGGTTCAGTACCGAGCACACTGTCCCAGCGGCGTGGCCGGCCCTCAGTAGCTCTGAAGGGACTGCCGGGCCCAGCTGTTTGATAAGGCTGTGCCTGTCTTCTTACTTGGTGTTTGCTTTGAAAGAAGAGCACTGTTCACCATAGCTTTATCCCTGGCCCCTTACTATGGGTGGTGTCTGGTTTCTGCCTCACAGGAAGAGAAAATAAAGGCCAACAGCGTAAAAGGACTTTGTTCTGACACTTAACCTTTTGGTGATTTGCGCTCGCCCCTGACCTGTCCAGGACGGGTCCTCCTGGGAGTCTCCCGTGGGTGCAAGCAAGGAACGTGGCCACCCGTGCTGTCCACCGGGCTGCTGTCCTGCGCTCTCAGGCCTGGAGAGGGAGCCAAGTCCCGTCGGTCTTCGTGCCTGGTGCGGTGGGAGAGTGCTGCCCTAGCCGTGTCTCTAGTGACGTGACGCCTGCGTGACTTACCTGTTCCCAGGGGCCCTCGGCGCAGTTGCTGTTTCTGAGCCCTGCGAGTGGCCTGGCTGCAGTGTCATCGTGTGTCAGCCTCACCCGCTGTCCAGGAGTGACGTCAACCCTTTGAGCCCTAAAGAGTCCTTCTCGGAGGCCTGCCAGTTTCTCACCATCCGTGCCGAAGGCGTGGTGCAGGCCGGGCCACCTGGCCTGCTGGCTGTGCGAGCTCTGCCTCTCCACCCCCCCCAGGCCTCCCGGGGCACCGTGGGGAGTTTTGTCGGCCTTTGTGTCACCCTATGGTGCGGGCCTGCTGGGGCCCCTTCCTCAGTCATGAGGGAACCTCCCCGGTGGGGGTCTCCCGCCCCCCGAGTGGCTCTGGGCTCCTTTCCCGCAGCCAGCCGCACCCGGCGGGATCGCTTCTCTGGTGAGGAAAGCACAGCCACGGTGGAAAGGGAGCCAGGCCTTTGCGACACTGAGGACGCTTGCCCAAGCTGAGGAAAGAAGACGAGATTCCCACCCCGCATCAGTCACACACTCGCCACAGAGCAGGACCCAGATTCTCAGATGTAGGCGGAAAACTGTGCTTGTCTTTTCCTTTAATGCCTTATCATGAAGGCATTCAACATTCTTGCAGGGAAACATGCCACAGCGCCTGGGTGAGAAAGGAAGTTTCTCTTAAGAAGCAAGGCGCGGCGGGTCCTCGTGCCCGATGACGCGGGCCGGGCGCGGCGGCAGCTGTTGGCGAGCTGGTGGCCGCGATGCCTTTGGTTCTGGCTATCGGTTACTGATCTGCAGGCTGAGGTCACTGCTTCCCAGTCAGCACATGGGTCTGCCAGGCCGGGCGGAGCGGGGGCGGTGCTCGTCGGGGCCTGTGTGTGGCCGCTCTGCGGACGCCAGACGCAGTGCCCAGGAGCCAGCCCGCACCAGCTGCGCCCCCTCAGGGGCCCTGCCCCCACACTCTGCCCCTCAGAGAACTGGATGTCTGCTGCCTGGGGAGCGGCAGGCCACCAAGCCCAAGTCACTGACCTCAGGAGCCAAAGCCCAGACAGCCGCTGCTCGGCAGACTGCAAGTGCCCACGCGCGTGGGCGAGGCTGTGTGTGAGGAGCAAGGGGCCGCGCTGCCTGTCCCCAGCCGGGGAATGCCAGCCGGGCACGGGCCCGCTTGCACACGCGTGTCGCGGGGCTCCCCTCACTGGGGCGAATTTAAACACCAGTGAGGATCAACTGCAGCAACTGGTGGTTCTCTGACACCCAGGGCAGAGGACGGAGGCGGGTCCCCCGGGGGTGCAAGCCAGGCAGGCAGCAGAGGCACCCGGCGTCTCTCCACCGCCCTGAGCCGGGTGCCCACGCCACCGCTCCGCCTCATGCGTCACCCGCTTCTCCCCGCGCACGGCCCCTGCCCGTGCCCCGGGACCCCCTCCCCTGCCGTCCCCGCAGCCCACACGCTGGCGTTGGGGCACAACGCACCGTTTCTCGGGGAGACGCTCTGTGGCGCTCGCCTGACAGTTATTCACCCTGGTTCACTGTGGCAGCCGGCGCGGGGGTCCCGGGGTGCAGGACCCAGTGCCCATGAAGCCGGGCAGTGGGACGCGTCGCTCTGGGAGGGAGTGTGCTCAAAGCAGCTGCTGGACGGCCGCCTGGCCTCTGGGCCCCGACCAGTACACGGCAGAGGGCCATAAATCCTTCCGCAGGGATAAAATAATGTCCTTCCAGTCTAGAGGCGGCGAGCGATCGGGCACTTTGAGGACAAAGTTGTTCTTGGACAGCGGAGGCCCGTTTGCCCCAGGCTTGCCAGTGGCTAGGAGGGGCGGTCACAGTAGGGGGTCGCGGCAAGGCTGGGGCGGCCCTGCAGGCACAGAGCCGCAGTGGGGACACACCGGGCTGAAAAGATTCCGGGCAGGCGAGGACGGCAAGTTCTCCCACGCGCGGTGGCTGGTTGGAGCCGGGGCGCGAAGGGGCGCAGAGCTTGGGTTCACTGTCGGTTTTCTGATTTGGGAGGCCTGGGATGAGGCTCCACAGGACCCACTGAGGGCAGCCCGGGCCTTGTCCCCCTCCCGCCACCTGCCTCGGCCTTCTCCTCACCCAGCATTTCTTTAGCGAAATACTCAGCTTTTAAGCTCAGTTGTTCACTCAAAAAATGTTCCTTGACTTGGAGGTCTCCCTCCTCGGTGCTCCCCTAGTTTCTAATAAAACTGTTGTTGCTCTTACCTGTTCATTGCTTTTGCTTATGTCAGTTGTTTACTGGGCCACAAGCTCCTTGAGGAAAAGGGTGCTCAGTGGTTGTTTGCTGGCCCATCAGAGGGGCGGGGGGACAGGACGCAGTGACCACCCAGGCTTCGGTCAGATGACTGGGAAGAGGGTGTGTCATAATTAAGCTGGAAAACACATGAAGGAGTTTGTCTAGAGAACCATGAGACCCACAGGCCTGTCCCTCCTAAACCAATACTGGATACCAATGCACAGTCATTGTGTCAGCTCATTTGAGCTTGACTAGAAGGTACCCTGCAGAATACACCGTCTGTCAGTCTCTTTAGAAGGGGCCTTAGGGAAGCCAGTGACCTTGCCCCCCCTTCAGTGAAGGTGTTGCTTTACTGGTACCCTCCTCCATGATATTTTGGGGCCCAGCGACAGGGAGCCCAGAGAGTATTACAATACTGGAGGCCTCCAGGGGTTAGAAAGTCATTGTCGTCTTAGAATTGCCAGGAGGTCTGAGAGGAATGTTGTTCTCCTGGGCATCTCCTCTGCAGCACTGGCAGAGCCCAGCAGTACCCTGTGGTTGGTGACCCTTGCTGGCTTTTAGGGATCACTGCTTTAGTAATGCATCACAACATATTTAGTGCTTTTGCTACTTAGTATTAAATGCTCATCCAGGGTACTTAAAAAGCCACATTGACCTCCTTGCTGGAATGATTTTCAATTATGTAATCAGATTTACAGTGTTAAGAGTTTCCCAACCCTCTTAAATCATCTTTCCCTTGACAAAACTCTTGTGGTAGAATTCATGCCTCTGTTTCCTGAGTCCTTTGTGAAATCTGCTTCCCTCAGCCTAGAGTTGGCAGTCCCGGCTGCCCCTTTCAGGATGTCGTGAGCAAGGAAAGGTCAGGTCACTTTTTCCTAGCCTTGTCTCCGGTGCTTCTTGCATATTTAAGGAAAAGCTTGGAAGAGAATGGAACCGCTTTGCAGTAGCTACTGTGAGGAACATAAGCGTGTTTCTTGGCAACACTGGAAACTAACTGGAGATACATGATGTGAACTGACCTCGGGCAAGGACATATTTATATCATTTTCTCAGCAGGCCTAAAGGGTGTATGGGGGTGAGTAGGTCAGTGCAGCTATAGCAACGTTGAGAAATTTGGGGTTGAACTTGGAACTGTCTAGACGTAGTGGCGGACTGGTGAAGGCTTGCAGTACCCCGTATTTCAGTGAGTGAGGGCGGCAAGTTCGAATGGAGGAGGGTCTGGGCAAGGTGGGAGGGAGAAAAGGAGTTCTGATTGATGACTCCTGCGGTGGGGAGGAGGTGGTGGCAGGGAGGGAGCTGGTTCTGGAGTCTCCCAACATGCGCTGTGAGGTGTCGGTTATCAATCAGAGATAGTAGGTGACCGACAGAAGCAGTTTTCTTAGAGACTGAGTTTCCTGGGAGGTGACTGTGCACTGGTAAAGCACTCATTAAATTACAGCAGATTGTAGGAAAATCAAGCAGTAACTAGGTTAGCAGAAAAGAGCAGATAGGAGAAATCCGCCTGTTTCATCGAGGCCTGGCCTGCAAGGTAAGCCAGTTGAGAAATGGCCCTGCACTTTGGCCCTGCGCAAAAAGTGTTTCCCAGAACATTCCATTTCTGAAGACTCATCTGAGGAAGAGGCTGACTTGTTAAGTCTTGTGAACCTACATTACAAAGCTCTGAACTCTTCTGTCTTTTTCTGGGGGTGGGGCTGCAGCCGGCCAGTAGACAAACAGCAAATCAGGCTGAGGAGGGGGCTCTTTTTTGTGACCATTGGGCTCCACCTGGTGGCCTGTGGGATCAGGATCC